CTCAAAGCATATAGAATGTAGTTTGATACATAGTGTAGGCCAGCAAGCTTTAGAAGGAAAATCAAACAAAAATAATAGAAACGTATTATCCTGAAAACAGTGAATAATTTCCTCTGGTTTTCTTTTTAAAAGAAAGATTCCATAAATCGATGGCAACTTTTGTCCCTAGGCCCCTTGACTTCAGAGACTTCAGGACAGGTTTTTATTCATTTGTGTTTAGTTGGTGGGCATGTGTATGTGTCTAACTCCACATTTAAATTGCTAGAATTCATTTTCCGGTATTGCTTTCAGAATAAGTCCCCTAGGCTATGACATTCCACATCTTTTTTTTCCCCCCCAGGGCAATTTCCCTATTGAATAACATTTGGAAATACAATGCATCTCTATTAGATCAGGTGGTGGCTACAGTTTTCCCTGAGGGATTCCAGGACCTTCCTGTGGATACAAAAAACTCACAATGCCCAGATACCCTAGCTAAAATGACAGTTTATATATAACCTACACACACCCTGCACCATACTCGGTACCTCTCTTGGTCACTTGAAACACCCAATGCAGTGCTCTGTGTAACAAACAATTGCTATACAAGATACTATTATCTTATATAACATGAAGAATATAAATAGTATGCTATTTGAGAACTTTGACAAGAACAAAAAGGCTGTATGTACTTTGTACAAATGCGCTCTTCCCCTCACCAAATATTTTCTATCTGCCATTTTGAATCCACAATTAAAGGAACTCACAGAGATGGAAAATGTACTTAGAAAAAGGTACTTAAAATGGATGAAATGCATTTAATGCAAGAGACCAACGTTTAGTTGTACTTTGTTTTAATGAAAATACATTAAAAAAAGAAACAGTAATGAAAATTGAGAGGTCATATTGAAGGACTTTTTTGTTGTTGTTGTTCTATCATAGATTAGTGATATTTTCTGTAAAGACCTTTTAATAGCAGGTAACGAGTAAAGATAAATTCTTAGCTCTGTCACTGAAGTGGACAGCTGATTGCTGTTAGCAGAGGGGAGGTCTGGGGGAGAGAAAAGGGCATCGTATATGGTGAAAGGCATGAGGACGGGGAATTTCTTTTACGGAAGATTGTAAACAGTGACAAATGCAAGTGGATGAAGGAGACTTGGAGGCATAAGGCTCCGGAAACAGGAGAGCTCTGCTGTGAAGAGCTCGGGGAGGAAGCCCACCCTCCCAGCGGAAGTCTGCTCTTCTAAGGCAGGACAGATATAACCAAGTGTGCCTGTGCGCTAATGGCTGCCAGGTTTAAGGTAAAGCTGTTGAGACGGAGTCCAGGCTTTGCTTTCAGCTTTTCCCGGGCGTGGAACTTTTCATCTGAAAGCAGATGACGTCACAGCGGAGGTGCCGACTGGGTTTCCTGCCTGATGGTAGGGAGCATGCTGCCATGTGGGCAGCGTTACTACCCCGGAGCTCTGATCTGAGGCCAGCTTTGCTCTGCCCCCTATAAATGTACATTCAGGAAACATATTGTGTGTGTTTGATTTGTGTCCCCCTCGTTCATTTCATAAACAGAGAACTTGAATTTGAGACAGGGCCTTTAAAGAGCTAATTAAAGTTACATGCGGCCGTCAGGGCAGGGTTGCAGTCCAACTGGACTGAAATGATTAACACAACAGGAAAGAGATGGAGAAAAGGCCACGAAACGATGTTGAAAAGGTACCATATATAAGGCAAGGAGAGGTCTCAGGACAATCCACATGCTAACACCTTGATCTTGGAGGTTCAGCCCCCAGAACCGGGGGAAAAATAAGTTCCTGTTGTTTAAGCTGTCAGTGCTGTGGTGTGTTATCAGGGCAGGCCTACCAATGCATAGGAAACGGAAGCACACCCTCATGAGGCTACCTGGTGTCATGTCCTAGTGTGCACAGCAGGTGGCAGCGCTATACTGTGAGTTTGGGCAGTCAGCTCATTTGCCAGGCTGTGGTTCTGGTTTAGATTACAGGGTCAAGCCCAGGGAAGTTCAGGTTTTAGCTTTTTCACTGCAAAGATACGTTCATTAGTGTCTCTGTTGTAAGGCTAGCCGTGTACCTCAGTAGGTACAGAGCTCTGCCTAGCACGCATAAGGCCCGAGCTCGACTCAAAGCATTGCAGAAACAGGGCCCTGTGGCACACCTGTAATCCCAGCACTTGGGAGGAGGAGCCAGGAAGATCAGAAGTTTAAAGTTATCCTTGGCTACATAGCAAGTGTGAGGCTAGCCTGGAATGTTAGCTCCCCTTCTGCCTCTCTCTCTCTTCCTCCTGCTCTCTTTTTTCCTTTCTAACCCATCCCTGTGTTACACAGTCCTGTACCGTCTATTTCTGTAATGATTTCTTACCATTTCCTGGAGTCTGACTCCTGTCCTTCCTCATGGTTCCTTGGCAGCTGATGCGTCTTCCCTCTGACCTTTGCTGGGTGCGCTCGTGTCTGTGAGCACTGAGTATAGAGCTGCTCAACTTCAGACCAGCCTCGAGCCTACAGTACTCACTCGATAGTCATAGCCCCCTACTTCTCTCCACAGCGCTCTCACCACAAGTTACAGAGCAGGAACTGTCCTCTCAGGGTGGAGACATCACGACCTCGGCAAAACCTTTCTTAATTCAAGGCCTGCTACCAGAGAACACTTTTTGTTTTCGTTGTCTTTCATAAAAATTAGGGGCCTAAATAATTTTCTTTACAATTTCCCAAAGTTTGACAAAAATCTGAACCCCTCTTTCCATACATAAGGTTATTAGAAGTAAGGTTTCTGGGCAGTATCTTCAGATAAGCGCTCGGCAAGAGGATGAGGCAATGGCGAGGTGTGAGAAATATACCAGCCAACAGTTTGCTCTGCAAAGACTCCTAACTGTTGCTGGGAAATGGTCACAAACAAACTCAATTAGAAGTCACCAAAGGTCATTGTATGCAAGCAGCCCTGATGAAGATCTGTATGCTGTCCACTGGGCCTCTGGGCCTCTAAGCTCAGTGCCAGTGGCTTAGGAAAGACAGAGACATAGCTCAAATTTTCAGACCATCATTATGTCGGAGACTTCTGAGGTTCTTGGGTTTACATGATATTGGCAAAACTTTTATTCAGGACAGAATTCTCTATGACACATTTCTCTACAATTTGTATTCTCTGACATAGTAAGAATTTTTACGAAAAAGTTCTGTATACCAATATATGGGCCTTGTATTATTTATACTTTAGTTTTCATAAATTGAAGTTTTTAACATCCATAAAATACCACTAACGGTTCTTAAGTATCCTGGGCTCTTTATAAAACAACTTAGTGTGTTAGATAGCTCTAAACCAGGGCTTTAGATGACTGTGAACATGGGTTCCACAAGGACACTACTTTTTAAAAATTGCACTATTTAATTTACTTGTGTGTGGAGGTCAGAGAACCAACTGCTTGTGCGGTTTATTTTCTCCTTCAAAGCTTGTGGGGCTTGGAGATCAAACTCAGGTGATCATGCTTTCTCTTGTGAGCTATCTGTTGGCCTAGGAACATCTCTCTCTCTCTCTCTCTCTCTCTCTCTCTCTTTCTCCTCTCTCAATGTGTATGGGTGTTTTGTCTTTTGTCTACATACCACACTCATGCAGTGCTGGATGAGGTCAGGAGAGGGAGTCAAATCTTTTACAACTAGAGTCTCAGAAAGTTGTTAGCAGCAGTGTGGGGGCCAGGAATCCAATCCAGGCTCTGTGTGACAGCAGCATGCTCTCTTCGCCACTGAGCTGTCTTGTTAGCTCATAGGTACACTGCCTTTAAGAACAACCAGTCAACCTACATCTGCGTACCATGGCTCAGGGGTTACTCACTGTGGTTCCATCATTGATGCTTTTTGTCTCAAGACTGCCCTCTTTACCCCCCCCCCGTGGGACAGTTCACTGTGGGTTTAGAAGAGAACTGTTTCTCTCTTTGATCTGTATTGTCAGCTCTGCTTACCTAGTACTACTCAAACGAAACTCAATTAGGAAAAAGTGAACATCCTTCTTTATTAGACCATTTTCAGGAATGTCAGTGGATAAATAAGCACTCTGACTTTCCAGGGTCAAATTTCCTTGCCTTTATCCTTGTAAAATGAGCATGAGCATTTTGCAATGTGTTATTCTGTAAAGATGCTGATTACACAGCCTGTTTGGTCCATACATATAGACATCTATGTATCCTTTAATCTGCCCTAATCTCTGAATAATGCTTTTGTGAATGCTTACTGGATATCATCTCTTACATCTCAAATAACCTGCCCGCGCTCAGGTAGTTATTGTGTCCCCATTCTACTTTCTTTAAGGGGTGCTGCTATGTACTCCTTCACTCATAAGAAACATCTCGGAATATCATATCATACCATATCACATCACATTATATCATGTCATTTCTTAACATACTACATCATATTGTGCCATACCATGTCATTTCATATTGTATCATATCAGATCATGCCATATCACATCATATCTTAATATGTCATGCCACAGAATGTCATGTCAGATCATGCCATACTATCTTATGCCATGGCATCTCAGATCATGTTATCTGGATCATTGTCATATCCATTGATTTCCATTAGGAATTCACTTGTTGGCAGAGTTTTAAGAACTATTGCAAATTATTGGTTGTTGAGATTTGTAGTCCTTGATGGAACTGCTTCATTAGCAACACACAATAACTGAACTGTAACAAAGGAGAAGATTCACTTTAACTTCGTTTAAGATTCACTTCTGTCTCTAATTTCCCATCTGTATTCTCTACTAGAAATTGTTCTAAGAACAGATTTTTGAAACACCTTTCAATGAAAGGGGAAAGCATGTTTTCAAAACGAGAGCTTCTCTGTTTCTTTAATATGCTGATTCCTTTGTGAAGACTAGCTTAGCCTGATGGGCACTGAAGGCTTATTTCCTATTCTTCTGGGGTGTGGAGCGGCATTGTCTCTGAGACAGGGGGGCTGGGGAGCCAGCACTACGGAAGCTTTGAACTTGAAAGACACAGAGTAGAGCTTTAATACTTACAGCTGTCCTCTTCTTCAGTTATACATTTCACAACATAACAGGCGTAGATGAAGCCCGCCAGCTGAAACAAAACGGACAAGCTTTAGACATCACACAAAGGCGAAAGTGTCTGACCTCCCTGGGGGAACAGCATTTCAAAGACAGCAGTTAGAGTCCTATTTGGGCTTCCAACATGGTTCATCCCTGGATCGTGACTCCTTTGTGGATGTTTACGCCAGTATTTATCTGCCTTCTCAAGAAATACATTGCTTCATTTCTTCTCTGATGTTTATGTATAAGTTTTGCTAATTGCTAAGTAAATATAAAACAACTATTTCAGGTGCAAAGACAGGAAAAGAACCGTGGCCATTCATGAATGGAAGCAACACTTACATTTTTGGCTTTATCTTGCTTTTTTTTTTTTTTTTTTTTTTTTTTTTTTTTTTTTTTTTTTTTCTTTTCAAGACAGGGTTTCTCTGTGTAGCTCTGGCTGTTCTGGAACTTTCTCTGTAGACCAGGCTGGCTTCAATCTCAGAGCTCCACCTGTCTCTGTCTCCTGAGTGATGGCATATGCCACCACCACCAGGCTTCAACATTTATATTTATACCAGAATTTTCTTGAAGTCAGGGCCTATGCTTCTAAAAATGAATTTTCCTCTGTTGAGTTTAATCTGAGTCACAGAAACAGATGATAATGGAATGAGCTGATGGCAAGACAAAGTCATACATAAATAAATGCAGGTTTATTGGAAGAGGCAGAGGAGGGGGAAGGGAGAGAGAGGGGAGAAGAGGAGGGGAGACACAGAAAGAGGGAGAGAGCAACAGAGAGAGAGGGAACCAAAATGTCTGGATTATATAGTGAAGAACCACTCCTGGGCTAGGGAATTCAGGGTAGTGGGCAGGGTGTGCCAGCCATGCCCCACAACAGGGACCTAGGGATAGCAGAAACCAAACTTTCTCGACTTTTGAAAAGTGCTGTGAAAATATTCCAAGGCGGTTTCACTATGTGTTGCATGGGCCTTTGCAGGTAAGAGAAAGTCTTGTTAAAACATGTAGAGGAATCAGGGCATTCTGATATGTTACTGAGGTGCAAATGAGATGGGCACCTGTGAGTGAGAAAGATTGTGAGAACACTCTGATCTTGGGTTGGCCCCTGCCATACCAACTTTTCTGAGGCCTCCCACAGAAAGGTTCCTGTGGTCACCAAAGTCCTTGCCCACTGAAACGTGAACTTATGAAGAACTTCAGCAAAGTTATTTGGCATCTAAGCCTCAAGATAGAAAGACATTGTAGTCTCTCTTATCAGTAATATTTAATTAAATTCTCAGCTCTGATAGGAGGCAATGATATAATTTACTGATAAGTGTCTTATAGCAGAAGCAATCCAAGTTTGATAAATTCTATGTTTTGTTATTGTACAAAACAATGAGTTTCGTTATGAGATTTTTCATACATATTAATCCTTGTATCCTGTTCTTTTATACACTCCCAATGCCCGCCATCGTCACTCTTCATTTCTCTTACTGTTTTCCTTTCTCCCTTCAAATAGTCTCCCTTATGATTTATTCTCATATATATGTGTGTGCATATATAATGTATATTACATACAATATATAGATATAATCCTATAATTATGTATGTAATTTTAGATTCTTTATGTAAATAAGAGAAAATATGGTATTTTCTCTTCCTTTTTTATTTCCCTTTCCATTTCATTGTAAACTTTTCCTTCTCCTCTCACTATGTCCTTTCTACTTTCAAGTCCTATGTGTGTTCATGCTTGTTCATGTAAATATATATAAATGTAGATTTTGCGTATAATAGAAAATATGCAGTGGCTTCTTATAAACTTAATTATCTCAGCTCTACCTACTTTTCTGTAAATGACAGGATTTCTTTTTTTTTTTTATTGCTGAATACAATCATGTGTATATATATCATACTTTCTTGATCCATTCATCTTTAAATGGACATCTAGACCGAATCGTTATCTTGCCTATTGTAAATAATGGAGCAATCAACACAGATGCACAAATGAAAGGTATGTTCTCAGGACAGTGATCATGGTGACATTGTATCCAGGCATTGATCTAAGTGAGTACAGACTCCTGTGAACAAAAACCTCTGAAAAGAAACTGATTCTGGCTGTGAAGAAAAATTCCTGCAAGGAGTCTGTGTCTGCAGAGACTGATTGCATGAACAGAATTTCAGTACTGTAGAGTGGTATGAATGTTGCAGGTCCAGACAATAATGACGTTATATTGGGCTAAGTTCTGGCTGTGCAAAACAACGATTCATAACCGTTCCACCCCCGAATTGGAACTAACATGTTGTGTCAACAAATAACATTTAGAAACTATTGGCTCAGCAGTCAAGTATCTTCTGCCAATCCCAAACCTAAGGATGCCATTAGATCACATCTTGAGTCTATAAGAAAGCTTCCCCTATCTTGATGTACATGCTTCTCTGAGGTACTCACCAATGGATTTTAAAGTTGTGTGACGTTCTCTGTTCTGTAAAACCATAAAAATGTGGTGAAACTGTTTCCCTGTTGGAACACGGAATTTGGTGCAACCTAAATTTGTGCCTCCCAAGTCATGATCACTCTAAATGGAACCATGATAAACTATTTCCTATTCCTTTTAAGAGGACAGGGGCTGCTTCTGTCATGAACTCGGTTGCCTGCTCTTTGAACACTTGGTGAACCCTGGTGATGAGGCCTTCCTAGGCCACAGAGGAAGAGGATTCAGACAGTCCTGATGAGACTCAATAGCTAAGAGCAAATGGCAGAAGGAAAACTTTCTGTTTCAGTGGCCTAGGGGAAGAAAATGGGGGGATGGGAGAGGGAGGAAGGGATTGGGAGGTCCTGAGGAAGGGGCTACAATCAGGATATACCATGAATAAATTGTAAAAAAAATTAAAAATAGAGGATGGCTATAGTTTTTGTGTTGACAGTTATAGCACCACAATGTGAGACCCAGAGAATGATTCACTTTTCACTAAAGGGATCATTGGAATAAAAAAACAGTACCTGCATGACTCATTGAGGCTAGGCTATCTGGTGTTATTCCCTCATTGAATAATTGGTGAGTTCTTTCTGGGGCTCCCAACTTCCCTTGGTTTGGTCAGTGGTCCATTTTGTTTGTTCTGAGCTGGTTAAGAAGGATCCTATTGTTTGCATTGTCTTCCTCTGTGGCCTGGTAAGGCTGTCCCCTAACCCCTTCAGGGGGAGGAGATCAAAGAGCCAGCCACTGAGTTCATGTCAGAGACAGTCCCTGTTCCCCTTACTAGGGTACCCACATGGACACTGAGCTGCCATGGGCTACATCTGTGCAGGGGTTCTAGGTTAACTCCATGAATGGTCCTTGGTTGGAGTATCAGTCTCAGAAAAGATCCCTGGGCCCAAATAGTTTGGTTCTGTCCCTCTCCTTGTGGAGCTCCTGTTCCCTCCAGCTTTCTATCTCCCCTTTCTTTCATAAGATTCCCTGTACTCTGCCCAAAGTTTGGCTATGAGTCTCAGCATCTGCTTTAATACTGTGCTGGGTAGAGTCTTTCAGAGGCCCTCTGTGGTAGGCTCCTGTCCTGTTCCCTGTTTTCTTTCTTTGGATGTCTATCCCATTTGCCTTTCTGAATGAGGATTGAGCATCTTACCCAGTGTTGGAGGGGCATGGGAAAAGAAAAGGAAGGTCGGTGGGATTGGGAGGGAATGAGAGAGGGGGCTACAGCTGGGATACAAAGTGAATAAATGGTAATAAAAAAATAAAAGTATTGTGAGCCAAAAAAAAAAAAAGACGGATCCCACTTTGATGGATACCCTTTTCATATGCCTTCAAAGTATTTTGTTTAAACTGTAAACTGTCTTTTTTTTTCCTTTGCTTTGAAAACATATTGCATTGGTTTAGTATGTTGCTTGCTTTCAGATCTCTAAAGACATTTTGGTCAGTGTTTTGTTTGCTTTTGCAACTTCGAAGGCCTTTTGATTTTTGTGTTGTCTTGGTTTTCATTGTCTTTGACACATTTTGATTTATTATCCTTTAGGCTTTATCTCCTGACACTCTTCCTCAAATTCACCATTCTGCGTTTTTCGGCTGTCATTCCTGAGACCTTGCCAAGCTTTTGGTCTAGGAATCTTATGAGTACCTGATGATAAAGACTCCAAAGGAAGAAAACACTTGTTCCCTCCCACTGAAAAATGTGGAGGTGTCACAGGGAGCACCCCATGATGTTCAAAGACCTCACAGGGAAGCCCAACATATATGCTTATGCTTGGGTCAGAAGGAACTTTATTGGCCTGCTTGGATGACACATAGGAGGGACTGAGCACTCAGTGTTCTGAGTCCTACACATATACACAAATGTGCAAGATGACCCTGAGACCCAGTGGGAGAAGAAACATCGAGCCCCATAGCAGCCCATGAAACTGACCCCGAACACATAGTTAGCGTGGACAGGCAACTTTTCAGGAGAAAATGTAAACATAGGTTTAAATATGGGGTATAAGGTTTCCAAAAGGAGGAAATGTTTAGAGATAAATCTCCACCAGGTACTCTAGCTGGCTTTGTGTGTGATGATCACTAACTTGAAAGCATTTGGGAAAATGGGGAGGTCTAAATATTTACTCTCTCCAAACTGATTTATTTTGTGTCTGTAACTAAGTACGAGGCAATGAAGTTGTTATTATTATTATTTTTTCTTAAAAAAGACAAATCACAAACAGGCAGCCTGCTTTAATTAAAATACAAAATATCTGTGAGCAAGTAGAAAAACCTGAACAAATTATCATGCATTACATATATGAAATAGTACAAGACATATGTGAAAACATTCTAATTAAATAAACTAGGGTTAGATTACTTCCTCCTTCCATGCCTCCTCCTTCTCAAATTCTTGTCCTTTTATTCTTTAATTATTATTGTACACGTGTATAAGGAATACTTATGCAAATACAACCTGAAGAGTCTGTTTAGTGTTTCTTGTAAATGTATGTTTTTAGGGCTGACCACTTGCTTATCCAAAATTCATTAATATTAATTAATAAAACAACAACAACAATTTGGCTTCGATGTCTAAACATTGTTGCCA